TGTCGCTGCTGAAGAGTGTGATACAGTTGTTTATTTTCAGATTCTTGTGAACATTGGCAACGAAGAAGAGGATGTTGCCAGGGTTTATGAGGCTATGCAACATGCTCAGCGTATTTTCGATGAAATTAGGCAAAATCCAACGAAAGGATATCTCACGTACAAAACGGAAACAAATTCGGATGGGACTACTTTTGAAGCATATCAGGTTTGTGGGCTTCCAATCCGTGCCATGTTGTTTTATTCAAATCTCTTGCCTGTCCTTGTTATTTGCACAAGAAATCCAAAAAGCAAAGAGGAAAATGGTATATTTTTTCGTACAATTTCCATGATTTTTGCGGTGTGTGGCATTTCCCCGTCGTAACGAAACTTTGATGAAAATTTTTAGGTTTTTTTTGTTTCTTTCAGGAATTTCATCCATTCAAATTTTCACAACTTAACGACAAGCAGTGCAAAGAATTTGACTCATTCTCGGATTGTGTCGATGAATTTTTCTCGAAAATGGAATCGCAAAAAATCGAAACAAAAGCGTTGAATGCGGAACGTGACGCTCTCAAAAAACTCGATAATATCATCAAAGATCAAAAGGTCCCAAATTTGAGATATTTTTAACTTCTGTCTCAAAACTTTTATTAGCTTGAACAGCAAACAGTTTTCATTGTACGATGATAACCAACAAAGGGAAGTTCCTTGAAACACTGTTGGGATATACTGTTACCAGCTGTTAATTTATAATCTACTTCTCCAGCTGCAACTGACAATTTTTCCAGCTGCTTTGACCAATGCTGTATTACGTAATGATTAGCTTTAATGGTAATCGCGAAATTCATTGTCATAATAATTACGATGATATTTCGAATAATAATGATTATTACGTAATAATTATTACGATATCATAATTATTACAATGATATTTTATTACAAGAAGCGACTTTTTTTGACAGGATCGAATCGCAGCATTGGAGCTGGCGCAAAGCGAAAAGGAAGAAATAGCTGAACTGATTGAATTGAACAGTGATTTAGTAGAGAAAGCTTTGCTGGTTGTTCGAAAAATAATCGCCAGTCAGGTTATCTTTTTTGAACTTGAAATACCATAATAGTGTATAATATATTTTTGCACCTTAAATTGCCGCAGAGGGATTGGTGTATTAAAGCTCAGAACTGACCCAGTAATGCTTCCGTAGAATTAAATTTTTTTTTTGCATTTTTTTCGAAGATAAGTTGTATGTTCCTGAACAAGCTGAGCTCCAGTACTACTTCCATAGAATTATATCCTTTTCCACTTTTTTTCCTAAATAAGTCATGTATATGGGAGCGAATACGATGAAATGGTCTAGCAAAGCATCGTATTTTACTTGTTTTGCTGTTTTTTAGCCTTAAAAATTCAGAATTTGAAGAAAATATTAAGGTTTTTTAGA